GCGTCCCTTATCATTTCTTGTCCTCATACTCCTCATCCTCTCATGCTGAGAGGAGCGAAGGAGATGGGTAAAGGAAGGATGATCAATTATGAACTGTGAACTCCCCCTCAGTGGGGCTGTCTGACTGTTGGCTGTAGATAAAGCAGAGTTATGACAACCATACAGTACCCCCTCATCCATAATAATCCACAGGGAGGGAGAGCACTTTCACACATAGGAATATTCATTCTCCAAAGAACTAGTACTAGAGGACATTACATATGACAAATATTGTCGCCGCTCATCTATTTTAAACACTCGGCTGGAGGACTTCACATAGCCCGAGGAACACTGCGTCTACATCAGAATAATCTGTGACTAAAGTTCCGTCTTGATCTTTAAAAGTTATTCATGAAGATTTGGGTTAAATTATTTCAAGGCATTTATGATTTTTAGGACAGTTGAAAGCAAAGCTAGAGAGACATGGGGAGGAATAAAAGGAGGCCCATCAAGCTTCTTCATGCATGCTTTAACTGACTTAGAATAACCATAAATTTGTAATCTAACTTGACTCCTGCACTTGTTTCTCTCTCAAAAAGTATCCCTGGAGAAAAGTGCCACAACTTGTTCCTCGGTACTTCATCATTACCTGACTACTACTTGTTCCCTGTAAAGCATCATCTTAAAAAACCAAAAAAACCCCAAAACAACTACCAACTAACAACTAGAGCTTTTCTTAGAAACTTGCACTTTCCTTCTAATCAACAAACCAAAGGGAACACTAAAAGAACAACTAATGATTGGGTTACTTGTAGGGATGCATGATATATCAGCGACCACATCGGTATCGGCCGATATTAGTGTTTTTTTCCGATTTATCGGTATCGGTCCGATGAACAAATTTAGCTTTTGATTGTCTAACATTAGCACCTTCGCCTCTACATTTGATATTGCTGCTATTTCACAGATGTTTTTACTTAAATGGTCCTAAACCTGAACATTATATATGTTAAAATATGTTTTAATATGTTTTACTTTTGTAATAAAGAAGACTACGTGGTCTAATTTGGGCTTCTTTTGTACAGCCTTCATGTTCTTACAGTGCTTACTTATACTCGTTTTTCGGTGTGCACAAAAATTGAACATCGACATCGGTAATATCGGCGATATCAGAAAGCTTAATATCGGTATCGGCCAGAAATATTAATATCGTGCATCACTAGTTATTCGTAGTGAAGTCTTTATTAGTTTGTGCCTTTTCCATTTGACATTTCTGAACTAATCAGTAACTAATGATTCATTGATACCCCCACTCTATTCTCTTAATTCATCAGTGCTGGATTCTGAGTCATTCAGAAACGACTCATTAACAATTAATTGATTGTCAGGTGATTTCATCCCCACTTGTTTCAGCAACTACTCACAATTTTATGGTCTGTAATTGTAAATTGCGCCTGAACACCAACTGGGATGTCTAAACTTACAACCCAATCTGTTGTCGTTGCATCATTCTCACTTTTTGGACTTATTTGTTCTGTTTTATTGAATGACAGCTTTAACTGCAGCACAACATTTCTTGGAGAAGCAAGAGCAAGTAATGCGGAGCCTGGCAGCATGCTTCAATCTTAGGGGGCAGAAAGGTGGGGCACGTATAAAGAGGTATACTAGTTGGTTTCACGTGATAACTTTACAAATCCTGGGTGTTGCAGTGGAGAAGGGTTTGGCACTGTTGCCTCACATCAACAAGTTCTGGGGTTTGTTGTGTGGCGCCTTTCTTTCTGCATGTTTACTTGGTTTTCCCACATTTCCCAAGACATGCATGGTAAATTACTGGTGATTGTAAATTGGCCAAAGGTGTGACTGTGAACATGTGGGGCTGCTGTCTGCTTCTTTATGTTAGCCCTGTGATGGACTGATGCACCGTACCCCGCCTGTTAGCTCAATTTCACCTGCAATAGGCTCCAACCCTCCATGGGATAAAGTCAGGTATAGCTAATGGATGGATTTTACAAACACACATCACATTATCCCTCTCAGCTTCTTTTGCTGTATTACCAGAGGAAATCTTGTTCTCTGAATAAGCTGCTGCAAAAGAGTCTCTTTTTGTCCTACATGTGCTGCAAGTGATGGCAGAAAGTCTCATATGACAAAAGAGAAATGAACTAACCTACACTTTTTACTTAGATCATATGTATATTTTTGGCTGCCATGGTGATAGCGATGCTCAAAGATGCAGCGGCCACTTCAGGAGACAACAAAAGTGAATGTTTTGAGTGTCTTGTCTATCCCAGACGTTCATTCTGCAAAACTTGCAGCTGGGAGACTTTGCTGGGCGTCAGGACAGTGAACGGTGCTGGAATTGCGGCGATCGGTTGTGATGTGGACAAACTACACCAACACACAGTCCGATCAGAGACGACGCCGGCAGTTACCCGAGAGAGAAGGAAGAGCAAACGGTACGAACGTAAACAAAGGAGGAGGAAGAGAGCCCGGATCCATGCTAGGCTAAAGGCTAACCCCTCCAGACCAGCAGGACCGTCCTCCTACTCTCCAATGTCCGCTCCCTCCACAACAAGCTGGACGAGCTACGTTTGCTGAGAGAAACCCGCAGAGAGTGGAGGGACTGCTGTGTGTCTGCTTTAACAGAAACATGGCTCCATGACAACATCCCAGACGGACATACAGCTGGAGGGGATGCAGACAGACAGACAGCTAGCTCTGGACAGCATCTGCAGCTTCACCATCGTCACACCATCGTGTGTCCCTGAAGACCTACCAGGACCTGAAGAGGTTCGCCATGTTCAACGAATGGTGGCGTGCATGGATGCAGCGCCCCCTTCAGGAGACAGTGAACGTTTAGTGCCTTATCACAGATGTTCATTCCGCAAAACTTGCTGATTGAATAATCCTGAAGAAACGCTCTCTCATCTTGCCTGTACTACTGTGTATGTACAGCAACATGACAATAAACTTGATTTGATTTGTTTTGATTTGATTTGATCTGATATATAAAGGGGTTTTTAATACATATTTCCATGATATTCTTCTATCGTTGAAACATTAACTACTGAGGGCACATGGGGCCGACAGACAACATTTCACCACTGATGCCTCAAAGGCAGCAGGTACAAAGCGTTACAGGCTACATGCTGCTAGACAGACACGCAGGTTGTACAACGACATGTTCTGCCTCGCAGGAAGCTAAGCGAAGAGAAGGTCACTACCAGGAAGCCTGAAGACGCCTGACGGGATGCAAAGTACGGTTTATTAGAGAGCAGGACGTGAATTTAGCCTGGCAGTCAAATAATGACAGACTGCTTCATGGGTTGCTTGACATTGCCACCTAGAAACAAAACGTACAAAGACATTCTGTCAGCAAAGTGCACTTTCTGCTTTAAGTGAGTGGAAAAGTCTCCAGTGTTACATATGAAATACACATTATATTATGCTGTCTGTTTCAATTAGTAGAAGGGAGACAGTTAAGTGGCACAAAACGCCCCGTATGACGTAATCAGCTGATACAGAGGGCATGTTTTCAACACATTTTTTTACCTCTCATAAGTCTTCATTAAAGTGCACAGGCGGGTCTCATTCTTTTCCCTCAGTCCCTGGAAGTATTAGCATTTGAGAAAATGCAAAAACAATACCGAGGGGTTATCTGAGGTACTTAGAGGTGGGGTAGGGTGGGGGATTGTGACACTGTTACTGCAGCCTCTCATCCATCTCAAATACGAAGAATCTAAACCTTCCGGTGGCGAGGCTGGCATTCAAAAAGTGAACATCAGAGGAGGGGAAATGATTGGCTATCTCTGCAGCATCAATGGATTGCCATGCATACCAACTGTTGTTTCAAACAGAAATACTTTCTTTGCATAACCGAGCGAGTAATAAGACTGCCGAGCCTTGTAGCATTTAGCGGCGTTATTATAGTTCGAGGCTATGACTTGAAAATAGAACACAGAAATTACAGCACACCGAAGCATCCCAGTATCTTTTCTTGTTTGGTGCTAAATTAGGCTTTCCGTTCTTCTGACAGTAAATGTTGGGAGTTCTTTTTTTATTTTTTTTACCCCTGCTGTTTGCCCAATACATCCGCTTGTGTATACGGTTGTGTGTGTGTGTACGTGTGTGTGTGGCGGCACAGACCCCCTGTTGTGCCCTGCCAGTTCACTGTAATACCCAAGGCTACCAAGACACAGTGCATTAGCGAGCAGTGTACATCCAACATTGGAACACACACACACTCACACACTTCCACGCACAGACTCACAAATGTAGCTGATTCTGCTGGTTTTGTTAAAAAAAAAAAAAAGGCACTTCTCATAAAGCAAGATCAAAGAATGGCTCCTATTCAAAATTAATCTGAAATAACAGTCGACATTAAAGTTTAATCGTGTTTCTCTTATGACCAGTAGTCACTCTGATCAGTGATCGCGAACATGCTTGGGATGAATTCGCAGGAGGGAAGCGCTCCGAGGAGGAGGAGGAGGGGAGCGACTCTGTGGACTGTCAGAGATGGTGTGCACTTTTTAATCCGAAAAAAAAAAAAAAAAGCTCTTAATATTCAAGTGCATAGTAACACAGATTTTGAACTGAGGGCGATGTGCTCACATAAATGAATGCTTCCAAGGCTCCTGCTGTCATCTCTGTAAAATAAAAATATAATGGTTCATCTACAATGGCTCTGCCTTAAATAAGTGGTGAGCATAAAGAAAATATAACCTTTCCTGCAGTGTTTTTTTGTCGGCGGTGCACTGCAGCCCGTGCTCATTAAAGTAAATGAAATCGTCCTTGGTCGTGTTCGCTGTGATTCTGGATGTTGACACAAAAGGAGTCAACAACTTTGTGAGCTTCCTCCTCTCACCTGCAAACTTTCAAGACACCCAAAAGGTTAGATGGGAGGAAGGGGGGGGGGGTGTTCTGGATCTGAAGTCATAAATATTCCCCGGATAATTGAAACAATAAGGTGAACAGAAGGCACACCCAGTACAGGATCCATAAATCATTTCCATGACACTCACCTCATTAATCAGGATCCAGTGACAATCGAAGGCCACCAGGTTGGTCTCCACCACCTGCAAAATAACACAACATCACAATTACCAACGAGAGCAATAAAACAGACGTTCAGTTTTTAATTTACGACTGGTCAAAAGTACGGAAAAAGGAATTAGGACACAAGCAGCCTGTTTTGTTTCTTTCGGATTTCCAGAAAAATAAATGGCCGCCTTTGACAGATAATTTCTCCCTTGGATGATCCGATTCGTGGCATCTTAGGTGTGAAGCAACATTATGGAAATGTACGAGGCTGAAACACGGTGTGAAGCTCGGCACGCGGGAGGTGAAGAAAACTTGAATCAAAGGTGCTCGAGGTATCAGTCAAAAATCTTTTCAAACGCATGCAAATGCAGCAGAGCTTCTCGCTTGTGCTTGACAGTATCCTCACATACATCCTCACATAAACACGTGCTTTCATGCATCTCAATATTTAAGATTCTCTCAATTTACACAGATTAAACTTCTAAGTGGACTTTCTTCTTCTTCTCTGCTGCTGCCGCCGCCGTCTCTGAATCACACACACACACACAAATACGCTGCCTCAAAATTGTATGTTTTTGAGCAGAGGGAAAAAAGAAAAACTGTTCCCATGAATTGTTAATGGTGCAACTTAAATATTTATATGTGTCAACTCTTAACCAGCAACTACACAATTGTTAAACACTGCAGCAAGGACACTTTGAAATGGCACTGTCTAGATAACGGAGAGCGAGTGCAACGGCGCACGAGGCAGAAACACTTGGAGCTCCACACATGGTGCATTTGCACATGCTATCGCGCCATCCGTTTTCCTTCAGCTGCGCCTTTCTTTTAGATTATTGCTCTTTTGTTCGAGTGGCTCATTTCCTCCGTTATCTGCGAACTCCGTCGGTGTCAAACACCCCCGTCTCAATCATTTTGTCTGACAAGCAAGAGGATGACGTATCTCCGCACTGCTACTTACTCCGCTCTTCACCCCGCCCTTTCTCCTTCAGCCTCCTCTACCCAACACAAATAAGTGATGCACCCAGTATGAGATCAGCTCCTTCTCTACTCCGGGAACGCCGCACACAGCGAGCGATAGAGTTTTGTGTATCAGTGGAATCGCTTCAGTTTTGCTTACTTCACTGGACAGAAGCTGCATTTGATGATGTACACAGAGCACATATTAAGGGTTGGTAAAGAATACATTTCTAAAGACTGAATGCCAGAGCGCCATTACCAACAACAACAGATGTGGTAAATAGGTGTTTTAGTCTAGTTCGCAGGCTGGTTTTTTCTTCCCTCAAACCAAACAGCGTTCACTTATTATCCAACTCTCTGTTACCGCCTATCATCTCTATCTTTTCTTTCTTTCCGAGGCACATCACTCAATCTGTATCATGTACTTTTAAACGAGGGTTCAGTCTTGTTACCTTGCTTCTGACTTTTCTTCTGTCATAAAACCCACTTCCCTCTGCCTCTCAGCTCTTTCATTTTCTCCCTTCCAATCCCACTCTTTAATTTTTTTTTTTGTTCTCCTCTCGTCGCTCCTGCACTCACCTCTCATCCCATCATCTTATTTGCTCACTTCTTACTCTGCGTCTGCACTTGCTGCTTTTTCTTCGCTCGTTCTCCCCCCGCCCACCTCCCTTCCTCCTTCAATCCCAGAGAAAAAAAAAAAATACAGCATAACTCGTATATTATTAGCTATAATTGCCTAGGTGACTATAGCGCAGAGTGTCATAAAACACTTTTTAGCCGTAAACAAAAGGCAACAGCTGGAGAGGGTGACAGAGCGTGGCTAATAGTGGTTTAATCTCCCACAGAGTCTCCATAAAACTTGATCATTATAACACAGACGGCTGCCGTAAAACATGGTAGCGACACAGACGACCGGTAAGGCAGGACGGGGAACGACGGAGATGCAAAGTGCAATCTCTTCCCTAAATTTTTCTTTTTGGTGAGCATCCCCGATTCCTTCCTCCATCTTCGTACGGGAGCCGAAAAATAAATAATCACCAGAAAACGGGGAGGGTCATTCATCTTTTTTATCCTCTCGTGCTGCTTCTGTTTCTATCTATTGGAGCATTGCAAAAACAGAAACAGCGAGCGGCGATGGAAGGAGGAAGGAGCGAGAGAAGACAGAGGTCTTCTTATGTTCTCTTGTTTGTCTGCATGTTTGTCTCGCTGTCCTTTTCCGTGCTCCTTTCCCTCGGTGCTCATTAAGATTTTAAACCGTTCGCATGGGATTCTGGGGGAAACTCTGACTTTTTCAAACGTGAACTTTAAACAGATTTTTTTTATACGCGAAAACATGTGAGTGTGTCCTTTTTTTATTTGTGAACGCAAGCTGTCGAGTGAAATACTGTAAATATGTATATGTTGATGTTTGTTTGTTTGTTTGTATGCGAGTACTGGTGAGTGTTTCTCCCATTATGACCTCCCTCTGGCATTGGTCTGGACAGATGTTTTAAGCTAATTAGTGAAAGGGCAGATTTGTAGCAGTAGCCATGACTCCTCAGGGGTTGGACCTGTTCAATACACACTCTCTCTGATACACACAAACACAAAACATGCACAATAATTACCTAAATGCAAAACTGCCTCGTCTGAGTGTGCATTAGCGCGCAAGCACAAACAACCACAGACTTGTTAACAACTCGGCGCCGTTACAGACGGTAGGTAGGAGTCACCTGGGCGTCATTCCCCTTAATGCTACCGGAGAGATCCTTCTGACCTCTCCGACCAGCTCCACAAAAGCTTCATTTCTGCTCAGTTCTTACACTCGAAAGTCAGAAGATCACACAAAAAAACCTCCCAGCTCCGTCGCCCGGGACGAATCCAATCACCCAGTGTCAATATAAGTAAGCTTTTTCTCCGGACAGAGAGAGAAGTCGGACTGATCTTCTACATTATGCCACAGTGCACACCAGCGATGACCTTCATCCACCTGTCCCTCCTGAAGGACTCCAGTAAATAGTTAATTCTGGCAAATGGCTGCTGTTAGCCTGACACACTCCTATCACCGAGGCCAGACTTGATGAAAGAGAGTTTGCACTATTTTACTCACACATTGCTTGCTCACACAAATAAATGTAAGCATGCACATCACTCTTTAGATAATTGCTCAAACACAGGAACACTCCAGAATGATTTTCTTTTACAGTATGACTCATAAACATGAAAAAAAAAGTGTATATTTTCATGCCTCTGCCTGTGTTTCTGTGTGTGAGAGGTTAAGAAACATTAATGTAAAAGCAGACGCTGCCTGAGCACATTGTGGGGGAAGCCTGAAGAGGCAGAGTGGGCGTCGCTATTGAATAAAGTGCTCTAAATTAAAAATTAGTTGTGTCATTTAATTTCATGGACTATTTGTGATCAAATCAAGCAAACAGCCTTCGGGCCACCCTCCTAACTAGATATATGCAAGCTTCACGTTCAAACATGCGAGCGCAAGCTGTGAAAATGTGTACAAACACAAAGTTAGACAAAGAAAAAAAAAGAGACAAGCAGATGCACAGATCCAAACCACTGCATCCTCACTGTTGTTTTATTTGTCCTGGACTTTGTGGCTATGCATTTATTGAAGCACTCACTAAAAATGCCACGCTATCAGGCTGCTGTTTCATCACTATAATTAATTTGCGTTTCTGTGTCTGCATATGTGCATGTGCAGGGATAAAGTGTCTGCATCTGGGTCTTGAGTTGTGGGTGTATGATTACTGTTATCATCTCAGAACCATCACTCCACCTGCATACTGTAAGACGGAAGACAAATATACAGAGACAAATTAGACCATCTGAGAGATGGGAAGAAAGTGGGCACGGACGAGAGAGAAAAGGAGAAGCAGATGGAGAGGACTTGCCGATTTAAAAAAAAGAAAAAAGAAACAAACACAAAGTTGTGCTTCGTGTGCTACACAACTGTAACTGTTGCCATGTTGCTTTTCTTTATTGGATTTCCAATGGATGATGTTTCCAGATTATTCTCTATCTGCGTTTTTTAATCAAATAAAATAATATTTGCTCCCAGGTTTTTGGTTTTTTTTAGCCAAACATATTGTGGTGGAATTGAGAGCGAGGATTGAAAAAGCAGAATGAGAATTAGAACTTCACAGAGCCAAATCCCATAATTATTAAACTATACACAACACAATATTCACACTGTGTTGCCTCCACATGAAAGCTTTTCTGACCAATTTATTAGCAGAGATGGTTTCTATCCGCCCGGTTCCCTGATTTCCCTTTCTGCCCTCTGGCATGGTTATGCTACTGTCAGTCCTTCTTTGCCTCTATAAAGGCATCTAATAGTTTCATACATCTAGGCTTTGCGTGTCCCCGCGCCCCCATTTGTCAGTCTGTGAGCTATTTAACCTCTCCTGCACCTTCTTCTTTCATTTGCTCGCTCTCTCTTAACTAATCAGAGGCTAATCTTGTCCCCCATGTCCAACTTGCGCGTCTCAGTTGCACAACACATCAAAACCACTTCAATGCAAAATATGAAAAAGGAGTTTAGCCTTTCGTCCTCTCACTTCATTTTTATTCAGCCTGACTCTGCCTTTCATTCTTCCTGTTCATGAGTTGAGCATTTAGCGAACACTAACTGAAGCGTTTTCTCTCGAATGCATCATAACTGCTGCATGTCATTTCCTCGCCTCGCGCCGCTCCCACAGCGCGGCTCACGCATGTTTGATTGTGTGTTTCTGGATGTCGAGCATGTGTGTGCGTACTTGTGTGTTCAAAAGAGACGATGGCAGGCAGAGGGTGGTGCATTATGACATTGCTTTGCTCCATGGATTTGCACACTTGGTGGAGGAGCACTGAGCTCAGACTAAAGACATGCAAACAGGCACAAACACACACATGCAGAAATAGGCGCTCCGCTGCCATGCGTTCAGTTAGCACCCAAGCTGCTAAGACCGCTAATCTTTAGCCTTTTGTTTGCCCTTCCAGTACAATGTTGTATGAATAAACATCAACCACATACACTAACATGCGTCACCATGACAACAGATTAGAGCCGACATGCGTTCACCTCCGTATCTTGGATGTAACA